CCCCCCCCCCCCCCCCCCCCCCCCCACACACACACACACACACACCCCAACCCCCTCTCCCTTACTCTCCCTCCTATTCAGGGCTGACAGGCAGACACCTGTTACTGCAGAGGGAGAGGCCCAGACCACGATGGGATGCATTCTCAGAAAAAAGGCAAAAAAGGAAAAAAAAAAAAGAAAAAGGAAAGAACAAAAAAGAAGATTTGGAAGTAGTGAGAACACATACCTTCACATGGACCATGCTTCACAGAGAGGACAACAAAAATCACAGTGAGTATCCCGCTTATCTTTGCTCCCCATCTGGTCAAAAAGCAACAACAACACTCGCTCTCCCTCCTCCAAACACTCATCTGTCCCGGGTCAAACACAGCAAGTGAGTAGAGGGGCAGAGAGAGAAGAAGAGAGAGAAACTCCAGTGTCACTTGAGCTGACTGCAACTCAGCCCCCCTCTCTGTCTGTCTCTCTCTCTCTCTCTCTCTGTCTATGTCTCTTTCTCTCTCCCTCCTCGAGGGGCTGCAAAACACACACACGGTGTTCACTGAGGCACAAAGGTCCCCATGGCAACGGAGCATTCAGAAGCCCCGTGGCATTATTTATGCAACGTTGCATCACAATGGGCCCTCCCACCGGCCGACCCAGCCGAAAAAGCCCGCCACTCGCCAGTCGCTCTCTGCCTCGCTCTCTCTACCTCTCTCTCTCTCTCTCTCTCTTTCTCTCTGACCAGACCATCTGCATGTCTCCCTCTCCTCCCGCCTCCCCCCCCAAGCCACCACCACTGAAAAGCAAGCGAGGAGTTGTATTAGGACAAGGTGGGAGGCGGCGGGAGAGACAGAAGATGGAAGGGAGGCGAGATGGAGGGAGGCGCACACATCTCAAAACAGTACTCTCATGCCTACACACAAACACACACATGCCTTCACACACTTGCATACCTTATCCACAAGCCTACACACACACACACACACACACACACACACACACACACACACACACAAACACACTGTACAGATAAGTCCAAACATACACACCTAATCTGCACTCAGCAGTGGCCTGACAATACTTATTTTCTCTGCACTGTTGGCTGTTATTATTTGCACTGACCGAGAATGTGAAAGCATGGAAAGTGGAATCGTGTTACTCTAACATGTACGCGCTGTTGTTCATCAAGTTTATCTTCACAAATGACACCACTTTTATGATTTCTGAGATGTGAATGCAATCGGCGGAGGAACAAAAAGCTAACGCTATAAATTAACCAGTTTGACCAACCAGTCTACATGTGCTTTGTGGACTTGGAGAAGGCTTTCGACTGGGTCCCTCGGGGGTTCTTGTGGGGGGTGCTGCGGGAGTATGGGGTGCCGGACCCATTACAACGGGCGATCCGGTCTCTGTACGACTGCAGTAGGAGCTGTGTCCGCATTCTCGGCAATAAATCAGACACGTTCCCGGTGGGTGTTGGCCTCCGCCAGGGCTGCCCTTTGTCTCCGGTCCTGTTCGTGACTTTCATGGACAGGATATCTAGGCGCAGGGTGGAGAACGTCAGGTTCGGGGGTCTCGGGATCGCCTCTCTGCTGTTTGCAGATGATGTGGTCCTGTTAGCCTCCTCGGAGGTCACGATCCGAGGAGGCTAACAGGACCACATCTCG